CAACGATTTTAACAGGACAGAGATGTAATACAGAGTCACGTTACTGCAACAATTACCCACAGCCTCCTGGGGTAGTTATAGAACCTCAGGTTATCAGTGAAACGTGACTTTACTGCGGATATATCAAAAACGCAACCTAAATTTGGGGTACTTGCCGATCTATCAAAAACGCAACCGCCGATCTATCAAAAAACGAAACTTTTGCAATACTAATACTAACGCTGATCAGTGGCTTAATCAATGACGTATTATTAGGAACTTTCTAAATCTTTTCAAAATGTAAATATTGTTCTCCTGTATGCAAAATGTGACCAATGATAATTGATGCGCAGAAATTCGCGCATATCGATTACGCATTAATGACGTTTAGTTAGAATATCGTGACTCAAAAATATTCGCTATAAAAAACGACAGAAATTGACTAGTTTATTATTATTTAATTTGTCTGCAGCAATCGCGAAAATGTAACCTTTAAAATGTATGCACGGTGAAATTTCTTAAGTGTTTCATTATTTGTTCATTCATTATTTTTTTTCTCATAATCGAAATTTAATTGTATGCTTAGTTTTTATACCGTCTTTGCAATTAAGACTAGCAGTTACAGTTTCAAAATAATCAAGTATTTGTTCTCCAGCCTTTATAAATGCAATCCTACATCTAAATAGTCACATTAAAAGAATACGCTTGAGGACAGAATAATGCATAATTGCGCGGATTAAAGCAAGCAAAAATGTAGACTATCTAGTGCATCAGGAAGGCGAAACATACAGAGTACGCTATGCGTTTGGAATCATGGAAATTCATTTAGGAGATTCTTCGAACATTCTCTCGGTGAACAAAATGATTAACCCAATAACCAGTCGTCCAATGACATTTCATTACATAATAAACAATATATGAAACTTGTTATTTTTTTAATGTGTCCAAAGTCCCGCCCGGAATAAAACCCTAAAACGTATTGCATGTTTCGTAATGAAACATTTAATATTTGACGCGAATCGTTGCGGAGGATCGACCTGTTGTAACCCGAAATGCTTTTTGACATAAATAAAAGCTAAATTTCAACCAATGATAACTGAGGTCATCCCCCTCTTTCCGCAACTCTAATTTACGTTAACATTCTAATTTATTCTCTTAAACTTCCAACTGCGGTATCGATGGGAGGAACTCAAAGCTCACAGTCTGGAAAAGGATACCATGTATTGAGGGTAAAATATACCACTCACTTTCCTTTGCTTATCCTCCATGATTACACTCTATAACCCTATTGCTTGTTTTCAGGTATATGACGGCTCTCCGTCTCATGAAGCAGGGATAGAGCCGTTTTTCGACTATGTTGTTGGTATAAACGGTTTTCCTCTGGTAATGGCTCGATTTTTTGATCCAAACTTTGGTCGATTCCGAGTATCCTTATTGATCAGTATACCAAAATGATATTGCTTTTAGGACAATCCAGAAAGTAAGACATTGCAAGAGCAACTACAAGATAACATAAACAATGAAGTTATATTGTCAATATACTCAACGAAAGAACAAGAACTAAGAGGTGCTCATTTACTCTTTTCTGGATTTGGCATGTTATAGAATGACTTTTTATTCGATTATCTCATTCACATGTCATATTATTAACACAATCTAAGCGTAGAGGTGACTCTCATACCCAACACAGATTGGACAACAAAACCAGAGGATGGCTTAATCGGTAACTATTAGATGAGTATGTTTGAAAAAGCAAGTGGCCAAATGCGCGCTAAATCGAAACTTATTTACGAACGTAGGATTAAGCATTCGATTCTGTTCCTATGAAGTATGAATGGCATACTACATTATTTTAACAATATACTACGCATCGCTATGCATTAAAATTTTTTGAACAATCGCTCTCATTTTTTAGGCGACCAACGAACATGTCTGGCATGTCCTCGATGTCGCTCCAGATAGCCCGGCTGAAATGGCCGGATTAGTCCCATATACCGATTACATAATTGGCACACCGCATGTCACTCTTCGTGGTGAAAGTGACCTCGATTCTCTTATCGAGTCACGTCTCGGTCGCCCTCTCCATCTGTACGTTTATAATGCTGACAGGGACGTATGTCGAGAAGTCATAATTGTGCCGAATCATGAGTGGGGTGGAGAGGGTTCGCTCGGGTGTGGAGTCGGATATGGATATCTCCATAGAATCCCTAAAGTCAAGAGGAGAAGAGAAAGTGGAGATCTGGACATAAATAGTAAAACAACAAACGAGACAAGAAATGCCGCAGATCAAAAGGATGGTGAGGTCAGCGCAAAAGACGATGGTAAGGGCAAGGAGAGGCAAGACGGAACTGAAACGGTAAACGAAAAGAGTCATGGTAGGTACCGGATACGGTGACAATTTGTAGTATTGTACGGGCAATCTTTACGAGTTGCCAACACCTGCATCGTTTCATTTTTTACTCCATTTCCTGTATTAGAAGTCGCATATCAATCTCCACCAACAATAGTTGAAACGCTGGTTGACGCGGATGAAGAGACGACTGGAAATGAAGTGCCAATACATGTTGATTCGGAGAAACCGCCGAGTGGAGAGCCACAAACTGATAACACAGCTACAGAATAATGATCACAATTACAAGGCATAATTAATACTTTATAGAAACATATAATATAGGTTTTGGTAATTATAGGTGTTGGTTGAACGTAGACGTCAAAAATATTAAAAAGTATGAAATACAGTTTATTTTTCAGTACATATATATCGATTCGTACATGTGCTCTAAAACTTTCTCTCTAATATCGGCTTGTTTGAGACACGATTGATCTTCCATATAGTGTATGTGTTATACCATGGTCAGCCTAAAACCATTCGTACAGCAAATTCAGTAAAACGTATCAGGTATCGTTTATCAAACTAACATACGTTCTCTTGTCTTTCTGTCAACTACTCAAACATACTTCCTGTTAAGTTGCCTGCTTTTCGGCGTTTATTTGATCTAATATTGCTTGCCGTTGTTTCTCCAAGATTACCTTTTTATTAAAGTATTTTACCTGAACGAGACGAATGTTCTAAATTAATCAAGTTCCTCAACCCACAGCCACACCCACACTATTCAGTTAACGCGCGCTCCGCGCATTACACGATCTCCATACCTTCCAGTCCCGGTACATACTCTAGTCGCTCATACTCACCCAAGAGGAAGGACAAGCTCTCTTGTACTGGTCATTTTTCTTTAAACACCCAAACGTTTCGGCCTTTTTCCTTAATACTTTGTCTTCCTCCACCTTGGTTGGATCTTCAATACCAGCCTTTTCGAGACATGAAAAATACAGATCCCGGAAATTGTAGCACAAATCGCGTTCAGAACGAAGCAACGGTGTTGTTTTTTGCACTGACATTAAGAGTGGTCAATGAAAACACTGAAGATGGGACAAAATTTCGAGATTTTCATATACGTCTCTTTTTTTGGTAAAATATTAATTAGTGTTGGTGATTCTCACGAAATCTCACATACTTTATTTATGTCCAAGTGTGGTAGAAAGTCACACAATACGTCAAAACCCCTTTCTCCAGAATAACGTAACAATAACCAAAGGCCATCAAGAAAGAGACAGTTTCATTTATTAGACATATTGCGAGGCTTGCTTGCCACAGAATAAACATTTTAAAAACGGCCAATGTATCTAGAAGATTGGATCAAGGTGAGGACAGCACCAAAACTTCATTTTTTGATTGTTGAATGAAAGACTTATTGTTAATTTCACGGACATTATCGTGTTTTTCCAATATGAATCAGAGTCGAAACGGATCATATCAAGCGCGTAAGCACCTTGTAATTTTCCCCTCTTCCATCAGCAACTAATCCCATTAGATGTATTTATCACAAACCAACACACTCGCTTCATCTGATTATTGATTTAAGTTGACCAATAATACATTGAGGCTAGTGTGGCGTTATGTCACGGGACTTTCCTTTTTTCGACACTATACGCGATGGTTGTTAAGAAACGCGATACTTAATATTAATATAATAATATCTTTACAATTACAATAAAGATGAGCGACCAAATCCAATCCGAGACAGGAAAAACTAAAGTTGAGATAGAAAGCATTGAAACACTTCAAGCTAACGTCTCGGAGAATCCGGCCACTCTTTCGTCTTTATATGCTTACCTGGTCGAACTATCGAAAAAAGGTAACCACTTTGTGGGTCAGGTGTTGAGGACAGAGTAATGTGAGAGTAGCAGAATCGTAAGAGCATAATATGCATAAGATGATAGAGTAGCACTGCTTGAGAGAGCTGACTTATCTTTTTTTATATTAAGTGCCACCGCTTCCTCTTCAAGGTACAGTGAATTTGTGATTTCCGAACCGTTCTCTCACAGTTTTATGACAATCTGTAATTCCATATTCTTTTCTTTTACCCCGTGCCGTCATCTAGCTATCCAACAAAACGCTCTTTATCCAACTGCAGAAAATAATGTTTATTATAATTATGGGCATTCAAATCAGGTTATAACTAGAGAGGGCTTGAAGCAAATGGCTATCAGGAGATACGAGTCGAGGATACACTATTCTAAGAGATATCACGGTGAGCATTAACACTACTAGCTTAAGCTTATTACATGTCCTTATCATGCACCGGAGTGCTCTTACGTATAATCTCTCCCAAAGACAATGAAAATGAGTACAGGTACGTGATTCAAACAATCGATTGTTGTCCGGGGCAAGCGAAGGACTATTACTATGATCACATGAATTTCTCTGTCCGGCACATGATTTCGACCAATGATTATGAGGACGTTATTATTATCATTGGTGGATACCAAGTTCCCGATTGATTACTTTGAATTTTCGCTCCGGACTCATAACGGTTTCCGTTTCCTAGTTATATACGAAAAATGACACCAATACATTCTTTTTGAATTGTTGTTCATATGATCAGACACGTAATCTTACCCCGTGCTATTGCCGAATTTCTTCCGTCAAATAAGCTCCTAACGGAAGAAGAATGGAGAAGCTACGGCCTTAAACAATCTATAGGATGGGAGCACTATATGATTCATTGTGAGTAAATAATCATCAAAAGATCGAGAGAAACTTTTAACTTCAACTCGACTCCAATGTTGCGATATCCCATAGATTCTTGTCTAATAATCGTTTATTTTTTTCCTTTGCAGCACCGGAACCTCACATTCTGCTTTTTCGACGAGAAAAGGACTATCAACTCAAATATCCTACTGCAAAGGAAATCAATTCTGAAGGTAAGTTGAATGAACAGGAAGTATCAGCTGAATAGGCATCACGGTTGACATCAATCTGAATTATGCTGGAATAAGATTGAATGTTGGAGAAAATTAGTGGCGGACATTTACTTACATGATAGCTGCATTCACGGACAAGATTAGAATTATATGTTGATGCGAGATGTCTTTATAATATAAATTGATTACTAATACAATGGATATGTCACTCAATAAATAATGTTTGACTCGAACGCCTTCTGCACGCATTGCAGATACTGTCTATTATCAATCAGTAGCACTTATTTCACACATATGATGTAAGCTTTTCAGAGGTACAACAAGATCCAAATGTAGTTGCATCGCTGCCGCCCAGTACTCGGTCGAGCTCAGCGTTTGCATCAAATACCAAGAATCCAGGATGAAGAAAGCAGTAAGAGCAATTGCAATTGGCAATGCAATCAGTCCATCAAACAGGGAGAAGCACAGTGGGTGCATGACTATTCCGGCGACAGTAACAACGAAGATTGCAAATTTACTATCGCGGATTAATGAATAAATGATGAGTACATTAGACATGTCCCGCGCGACCGAATCTACGAATAATTTGCAAAAGCAAGCTTTTTTTTTTTGCATGCGAAATGACGTATACTTACACAGAGTTACTAGTCCTATATTTTAATGTATATTGGCATGTAAAAGCCAAAACTGCGACTGAACCCACTGTAGTCAGGATTAGAGCATCAAGCAACGGCTCCATCTTGAACACTGCGACTGTACAATTTACAAACAGTTAATAGCCGAATTAAAACCGGGAAATGCAACAGTACCCATTGACTTACTGAAACCAGCAATCGTATAGGTATCAATGATAGTATAGATAAAGACAAGGAATATCGGCGGTTGAAACTCATCATTCGATTTGTATGTTAGGCCGACGAGCAGTAAAAAGGTGAAGAACAGGGATACTCCCCATAACCACAAGTGCCGAACGACGAATAGCCGCCAGTCTTCCTTACGAAGAAATAGCAGACAGGCGACAGTTATCGCCAAGAGTTGAAATGCAAAAACAGTGTACGTTTTACGGATGAACACTAAAGCACGGAAAGAAATACAATTAATCGTTGACAGTTTATCTTATCCGCGTTGGTGCTGAATATAGTACAAACAATTCAATACCCATTTGCGTTCGAGTATTTGACCATCTGACCGGTTTGCCAAATGGAAACAGCGTACTGTTCCCTTCATCGGCATTCTCCAAAGCAGTTTCAGTAAAACCTCTTGCGTCAAACGTTTGATACGACATCACTGAATGATAATCAGTACAATGCATGCATATCGCTCACGTTTTTAATATTCATTACAGTAATACCTCACATGACGGCCGTTTGTTCCACAAAGATCGATACTTTGTGGAAACTGATAACGATAAACCAATTCTATACAGTCAGTTTTTAGATGAACACATTACTCTAGCCTAGGTATGTAAATGGGTAAATCTCGAATCTAGTTTTATTTCTTGGACCAGGCTTACAAGTGACAACAATCAATGCGTATTTGCTCAATTTAATCATTTATGAATTGCGTACCAATATTATACATTTAACAGTTAAAATTAAATGCGTACTAGTACAAACTTGGTTAATATTTCCACATCCACTATAAACAGCGCGCGCGTAAAGAAAAGAGCTTAATATTTATCATTGTTACTGGTCAATTTGATGCTCAATCACATGATGAAATAGTGCAAGATCCAGCCTTTGACAATGTTCCTGCGGAAAATGTCAAGCTCTAGCAAAACACATCGAATATCCTCAATTCGACCGATCATACAAATGCTCGCGAATGTATTAAACCGTTCAACTCCAGAACAGCCTGAAAATAACGTCTCAGCCACTACCCCTGATCACGCGGAGAACAGCAGTTCAAAAGCAAACACAAAGAGGTATTCCACTTTCTCGTAATGGAAATGCTATCGTGTATGTGACGACCGTTGACGTAATATCGTATTGTATCCCGATAGTGTCAAACAACCGTTCGATTATTACATATGCTTTGACGTGGAAGCCACCTGTGAAGAAGGTCGAGATTTCGGTTATGCGAACGAAATAATAGAATTTCCTGCAATTCTAATCGATAGCAAGACTTTTGATATCGTATGTTGCGGGGCATTCTCATGGTTGCCGTTTTATTCAGTCTTGAGCAATTCTGTAAATACGATTTCCTAACAAATCGTCATGAGCAGGTCGACATTTTTCATTCTTATGTCAAGCCAAGCGTAAATCCGAAACTATCAGACTTTTGCATATCGCTCACAGGAATATCACAAGTAGGCGAGGCAAGCTTTCTATTCGTATACCAAATTAATTTAATAAACTATGTTCTTACTTAAGGCAGTAGTCGACGGGAGTCCGTCTTTCCTGGAAATTTTGACAAGCTTCCAACAGTTTCTGCAGCGTCATAAGGTAAAGTACTTTAATCATACCATCGATGTGCTTAATATGTTGGAATTCTAATTTGTCTTTAGCTTTTCTCTGATAATAAATGCGCTTTCATAACGGATGGTAGGAAAATATGTTTCATTTATCTGACTTACTAATAGTGATTATCAATCAGTAACTTACGCATATTCTGCAGGTCCTTGGGATATTCGAGACTTCATTCACAAACAATGCAGGTCATCAAATATAGAGCGACCAAAATATTTTACTTATCCGTGGGTTGACATTCGTGCTCTTTTTGCAGAGTTCTATAATTGCGATAGATGTAATATACCTACCATGCTTAGTCGTTACGAGTTGACATTCGAAGGACGCCAACATTCCGGATTGGATGACGCAAAGAACATTGCCATCATAGCAAAGCGCATGTGGATGGACGGTGCTTTGTTTAGAGCAAATAACATGGTGATAATGAAGTTTGGGAAAAGGGCGCGTCGAAACGATAGCTTTACATATGTCAGGAAGTGACGATACCGATCAATTGTCCCCGAATATAATGATTCGAAGAATTACCGAAAAAAGGGGGGAGTTATGAGCGACTTGTAAGTTGGGGCGCGAAACTTATTTGTTGTTACTCCCGACATATGACAGATGACAAAGCAGTATAACTTTGCAATAATAATTGTTATATTTAAATTTTTTTTCTGCTTAAGCGTCTAATAAATATCTGTTGCCAGACATTGCAATAATAACAGACACAGAAAGTATCAAATCAGAGTCACTTTAACTCGTGCTATGAAATATTATGGGAGAAAAAGGACAAGGTTTTTAAAAAGGTAAGAATTACAAACGTGCCTCTAATGCAAACGTTCCCAGAAAGCAATAGTCCTAAAGAATAGGAAACAAATGGATCTTGTCAATTTCTTATTGACGAATATACTTTTCATAAATATCAGATAATAAATAATAACCGTTATATCAAGCATTTTCTGCTATATCGGATTTCCGGTCAAACGGATTGTCACGATATTAATATAATAGTAACGGGTCCGTTACTAGTATTAGCCCTCAATCACACCAATTTTAACTATGACACCACAAACGCGGCAATTTCTGATATTTCCGTGGCGCATGATGGCTTAACAGTCGCCGATGACATCGCGTACGAGTTCATCGTTCACTTCCGGACGCCGAATATGTTGCGACCGTTCTGGGATTTGACCCATTCTGAAAACAGCCAACCCGTTTCAAGACTGTCGCAAAATTTTTTCGACTTGTGCGCAAGAGATTATTCTAACCGGTCATAACACTTTACGAAGAAGACTATGCACAATCTCCCTACGTTCTCTGTTCCTATCGTTCACGATTACTATGTCCGCACTCTGTAAAATGGGTAATAAAATGATAACTTTACCAATCATCTTGATCGTCGTTCCCACAATTAAATGTTATAAATCCACGTAACGAGTTAAAAATTGCCGTTCGCGATGGATGTGAAATAATCAATCGTCGAAATACCTCAGTCTATTCACGATGTTCCATATGCAAAAGAAAGTATCTCTCACCCGTCTATCGGCACAGCGTTCTGCTGGTGCAAACCCCTTTGTTGAATATTACTCACTGAGCATATGGGTTAATCTAGAAACCGAAGAACGTTGACGCTTTATTCAGGCATTTTCTTATACACATGATATGATAGTCGATGAAGATAGATCGATGCTTTGCCTACTTTTATTCGCACAGGCGACTTTTACTTCCCGGGAAAAACATCCATGGTTAAGGCTAAAGGTTTACCCATGCTATTTGTCACTGAAACTAATGGGTTCATTTCACCCAAATACTTCGTAATACTGATAACGGAGATATTAATCCTACCAATCGTCCTTTTCACGTGTGTATGTACTTTATGCAACGTTTTCGTTCGTTAAAAGAAAGATTGTGGCTAGATGATCAAATAGTAACAATGCAAAAGTAAACAATTCTCCTCTATCCATTCAAGGATTGAATATAGAAAATTCTTCCATATCTGTTTCAGAGTTAATTAGAATATGTAATAATAGTATAGAAAGTAATGAGACTGAGCTCGAATTAGTAAAGGAGTTACTGGAACATGCTAATATTTCAGGATATGAGGTATCGTATCCTACAGAAAATTATCCTAACACCTTTTATCTTAAACGTATAACACCTTCGAATTGTCCATTATGTAAAAGGGAAGATAAAGACCAAAACGGTCATATACACGAGAACGATAATGCATGCATTATTCAGGATTTTTGCTTACAAACTAGTTTATATAAAATTTTCAGATAAAAATATTACGCAAACTTTGTGTTATATATACTGGTTTTGTGACGATTTTTGGTTAATTCACCATTCTCGAATTTAATTTTAAATATGAAAGTACTAATAGAATAATATAACCATTTTGTGATATCTAATCGAAATGCCGGAGATACCAATTTATGTAAAAACCCAGCAAAGGGGCAATATTGCGCTTTCCATGCATTCAAGATTCGAAAGGGTGTAATAATCCTCCAACCATGTAAAAGATGTAGACGAGGAACTAAATTGAGTCTTCCTATGTGGTCAAGGTAGGGGAAAAGCGTATAAATATTATAAACAGAAGTGTGAGAGAGAAACTCTGCGTGCTTAATTCTGTATACGCGAAGCAATTTACCAGATAAGTATTATCATTTATTTTTCCTAAGTGTTTGAAAAACAACCAATTAAACTTATCATTTTCTAAGTAACAATCAACTATTATCATTTTCATAACTAGAAACTCCTAATGGAAACACCCCAGAAAGTAGTCAACTTATTAACTAAGAGAGAGATCGATCACAATGGACCAACATTCCGCAGACTAATGCGCAATGGCTTCAGGTACGTAAAAGATTTAGCTGAATTTCTACAATTTACCGGATAAAATAGATTATTATTATATAGAGCAGTGGACTTTTTGAATGCTCTGTTTACAAGAAATGATTTATAAGTATAGAAACATACCGGAATCTATTCCAAGCATTATAGCGATGGTAGTGTCTTTGACACATAAAAAATAAAAATGAATCATGAATCTTAATATAGCCTGGATCGCAACTCCAAAGCTATAATTTTTTCGTTATATCCCATATACTGTATTAGTAAATTTCAAATCGCCGTCCCGGTTACCCATACATAGCCATATACTCTCTTTTTCTGAGCACGAGAGGAAAAAGTATAATTAATTTCGATTTGAAAAAAGAATCTCCATAGTATATAGCCAGAAGATGCGGAACAGGCTGTCATTAGGTGAGCTGGTTGCAAAGTTAAGCAAAATTGAGAATATCCGGAAAACGAATAATATACAAAAGATTAAAAATTAATTGCATATCTGAAATCTCGCTCTATTGCGGAGCAATGGCTCTTCGAGCCTACTCATTAGAAAGATCAAGAGGTTGGTCCCATCCTTCGCGAATATAGAGCAGATCCTCTTTTGCTCTAGTTAAATCGATAACAATAAAATCTCTACCTTGCAAAATTTTTATAAGTATATCGACAACATCGCGCCATTTTTTGTATATCATCTAGCAATATTAACAAGCTCATCATATGTCCTAAGTCATTAAATAAATGTAATCCAGTATAGCAGTCATTAAACTTTTTCGGATCTGGAATTTATCCAGCGTGTCATCTTCATAATAAGGCTACACAAAATGTCACGGGTTTCGAATGGCGTGTTAAATCTATAGAAAAAGTTACGCAAAATACCGTGCCGATCGCTCTAATATCATAGGTATACCAACATCTAAAGCAAATTCGGAACTAGTTTCTCTTAAATCGTCCCATATTCCTGTTTCTATTCGTTCAATCTGTATCGATTATAAAACGAGCTCATCTTTAACAATTTACCCTCTTATTTCGAAAAACTTTTTTATGTCCGACTTTTTTTTTTAGTTGGTCGAGGCATCGTGATGTCGTTACTCGAAACAATCACATTTATTGGATAACGACACGAACGGGCGTCCGAAAATTATACTTTAAGAATATTAAGAAAATTGTTACTTTTCAAATGCCTAAACTCGAAATTTTTTCTGGTTGATTAAAATCTTAATCATCTGCTCTATCATTCTTACGGATTGTAATCTCTAATCAAAAAACCTTAAGATTTTGAAGCCAGGTAATTTGTTTTGAACCACTAGATGATCTGTACCATAGCACACAACGTTGCCGATGAAAACGAGTGTCAATGGATGTTTGATAGTTGCATTATCGAAGTTGACGAGCAGTCAAATAAATGCACGTAATATGGATTCGATACTTGTTCATCAAAATGTAAGTATCGCGAGGAACTTTTATCACAGTTAATCAGAATGTAAGACGTAAACATGCTGTTAAAATAATATAATCATGTGACGATTAGTGGTGATGATTTTCCTAATAATCTGATTTACGTACATCTAACATTCTTATAGTGGCTAACTCTTTTTGTGATGTGAATGTGGTGTTGTCTTTAGCTGTTATATGTTAAGCTGCGTAGGCGAATAGATTTAGCCACATTTGGTGTACCTAACTTGTAAATCCTTCCCTTCTAAGCAGAAAGCGTTAGAACTTGACAGGGTGCATACAGTCATTGTTGATTGAAGATATAAAATTTCTCCATCTTCCTTGAGTAGTTGATAAAGAAACCACACAATAATATGCAATGTGAAAAAAGTTTTCAAATAATACACAAAAATACAATATGTCGATAGATATTTGATCGATCCATTGTCTTGCTGCATTATTCTAAAAATAACTTTACTGCGCGCGATTAACCGTATTTGTATAAGGACTTCAAACGTGGCTGTACAGTCTGTCATAATGGTTGTCGATTTTAACCGATTTTAAGCTGACGGTAACGCCAGAAATACGTAAGCCAACATGTGTATTAAAGTGGATTTTGAAGATTCACATGCAAAGATTGCGATAAGCGAAAAGGAAAAGAATGATTTGAATCGTATAAATCATCTATACAAATATACCAATTATAGAAGTATCAGATATTTTGTCTGTCGCACTAAACTGTTAGAGGAAACGAATTTTTTTAGCATGAACCCATTTTCGGAAACGATCGGATGATCTATACCGGCATTATTTGAAATGTTACGAACAATTAAAGATAGTGTCCAAGAGTCACATATATCATTGCCTAAATGCAGAAGAGCAGCAGAACCATAGTAAATACAAAGGATACTCGACAAAGACACGATTTATTGACATATTTATTTTCATCTGCATCAATGGGGAAACGGCTATTAAGATTTGGATCGATTATTAATAAGCACAAAAGGCCCTTTTGGTTGGGGGATACTAATAGGATTTTGTCTTGAAATCCCATTGGATACTGAGAGTCCATTGCATTTCAAGAAGGCTTGGTAATATCCATGACGGAAAGGGTTAGCCATACTTACTGTATAGAATACACGATCAAGCTATTCATCCCTTTACATGGAAAGTTACCCCACAAATGCAAGTCCCTTACGATTCATACACAGTATAATGGCATTTCGTGCAGATTGGCATTCATTCAATGTATGCATCGTATGGAAAACATCACAACTGGTAAACGAGTTCATTGTTTATTGCAAGTATTATCATGATTACTATTATTATTATCAATGAAGAATTACAAAGGGTTCAGCAATTATCAGGCGCCTGAAAGACAAACAACAAACATTCTATCCGCATACCTTATAGGGAAACATTTGCTGGAGGAACAAGCAAGGAAAGGGGAAAGGGAGGGGGAGAAGAGAAGAAAGAATGGAGCAATTGCAAGGGCACTGTTATAAAAACGAAATATCCTTATTGCACTTATTTAGTTGATGACGATTATCTGCACTCTGTGTGATAGTGTCACCTGTGCGTAGAACTGATTGAACACAAACTGCGGGCATATAAAATAGCCACACCCAAATAAATAATACTACTTCATACTTTGTAGCAAGCAAAGCTTGAAACCGTCTTCAGACAACTCGAACTCTTCGACGCTCTCTTCCTAACTACTCCTCTCGAATACATTGTATGTAGTTCAAGTCAAATCCGTGAGTGGCGTAGCCATAGACGCTGTAATAGCTATTATAGATAATAGCGGAGAGACTATTCCGCACTATTGTTATTGTTTCCTATAAAACATGTGCACTCCCTGCTGAAGAAGCACTAACAATAAAAAGGAAGAGAATACCTAGCACACAGCATTTTGTTCTCATTTCTTCGTGCATATAAAAACAGCGCTGAGACATAATTTCCGTTCTTTTTTATCACTATCAACACATATACAAACATATCTTTCGGCTGTATCTGTTTCTCTCTTTAGCTGCTGGCGAGTACTCACCTCACAAATAAACAAGAAATTGTGAGCTTTTTCTTACGGGCGAAGCATTTAACATCTGCCTGCGATAACAATGAGTGAAGACGGGCAGTCCACTAATTCAAAAACCGATGACATCAAGAATACTGATACCAATAAAACTCGTTCGCCCGAAAGGCGCTCGCGACCGCGCCCATCAAGGTCTTCCTCATTGGACTCCTCTTACGAAATTGTTCCATCCACTGGCACCGAATTGAGTGACGAAGGTCTAACCAAGCCTTTAGCTGGTAAACCTTCTCCCTACAAAAGAAATCATCACTCTCGCCATGGTTCTTTACATAGCTTTGCTGAATCAATACCTTCTTCTCCGTTAAAACATGAATTGACCTTAAACACTTCTCCCACTCAAATTGATGAAGGTGACGATTATGAATCCATTCCCTCGCCTGCTCATACCGAATCCAACGAAGACCGCAATGATGACGATAAAGATAACGAGGTCGATAGATTGGGAGACTTGAATCTGCATCAGTTTGGTTTTCCGACAAACTTCCGTCTTTTGTACGTCGGCTATGCCGCTAATGAACAGTTAAAGGATGATGTCTTCCAGAAAGTGTCTGAAGCCTTATCCCAGATTTTTTGGGAAGAAGCTGACAGAAATTTACATCCTACTGCTGACGTAAGGCCTGAGAAGAGGATTGTCATATGTCCGGTAACCAACTATCCCGACAACGGCAAACCTGAAGTAGAGTTTTACCAAGATTCGGGTGTTGCCGTATCCGAGGCCGACTTTACTAATAGAAAATTAAGGGAAATTCTGGACTATTTGGAAAATCAATTTGCCAAAAAAGAAAACGACGATGATTTAGTTGATTTATGCTTTTATTTTTTGCCTCCAGATGAGAAGAAAATTCCAAGTGATCTTTGGACAACTATGAAGAAATTGCAAGAAAAAGTTACTCTTGTTCCACTTCGTACTGCTGCTCCTGATGAACTTTCAACTACACGTCAGACGTTATTGCATTCTCTAAAGCAAAACGACATTGACATTTTTATCTGGAAAGACGACAAATTAGTGCAAAAATGGGATGAAAAAACCGGACGGCACAAGTGGTTCAAGACAGTTTTTACGAGAACCTTGTTGACTGTAGAAGAATTTGCCGAATTGGACATAGAAGCGATGTTTGAAGATCTTCGATTGATAAGGTCACGTGCCCTTGAATTCAGAAAAGAGCGCGAGAAGAGGGAAATTGTTCAACGAAGAATACGTAGTGTAGAGAGATTGGTAGAATTTGTTAGATCATTTTTGATGATGGTATTCGTTCTTGGTGTAGCATACTTTTTCTTCCTTAGTATGTGGACATACGGGGAGTTTTCGGTAATTCCAGAAGACATCCGAGAATCGCTTCAAGTCGTATCGAGTGCAACATCGAGGTTACAGCAGGACTACTCATGGCAATACGCAGATACGTTTGGCATTGACGATTCGCAACACAGTAGATTGGTGGAAGTGTACCAAGTGTCTCGCTCCCGTTTCGTAATCGATACGTACGACCGAAAACAGACATCACGAGGCGTCACAAGAGCTTACGAAGCAATCGTATTGCATAACGCCAAGGTATTACGACGTCACGACGTTGCCGGCATTGGAGACGGTCGGTACAGTTTTGACATTGACACGAGCGACGCCATAGGGAGTGTATATGTTGCGGTTAGAGATAAAAACGGAGAAATCGTGCGAGTGGTACCTTGGTTGAATCACAAGATGATTGAACAAGCACGACAACCCAATACACCGTCTGCCAGAAATGCCGACAATTCTCCACAGAATTACTATGGTTACGGTGCTATGAGTTCTCAAGTTGTTCGACATGCCCAGCAAATGTATTCGATGTCACTCAGCGTCGGTGGACAACTGGCGGACAATGCCAAGAACCTATTTATCTACACCAAGAAAAAAGCTGACCATCTGGTGGCCTACATTACAGAAGAACTTAACGAGTGGGTACCGTACATCTGGGATCAGATTACATATTGGGCCAGCTCTGCCAAGGAAAAGGCGAAACGGGGAGCAGGAAAAATTAAAAGATATGTTGCGTCAAAAGCAGATTTCTAAAAATTGGGGGAAAAAAAAAAGAGTGAATAATATTTGATGACATAGGCTTTTTTCCATTCCTTTTTCTTTTTTTTAAATTAGTTGAAATTTGAGATCATTGCGTTACTTAATTACTTTCACTATAGCAGTACAGAAATCTTTTTTTTTATTCTCTTGTATATTTCCCGAGTCAACTTTCAGACCCGCACATAAATATTTGCTTTATATTTGCATTATGGATAAATACTGTGAAATGTCATTCAGTCGATGGCAACTGAATCATTTTTGAGTTATTTTACCTATGCATACTGATGTCAACTTTTTTTTTTCACTCGATTGTGCCACGACAACATTACCTTTATTGTGAATAGATTAATCTGGGGTTTTCTCTTTTTAATATTAATGGACATAGACAATTACCTCTAGTACTAGGGAAGATTGAACTTTTCGAGACCTTTTGATCATCTGATCCAGATCACATGATATGATTCTTGGGATGTCGCTTATTATTATCGATCAACTATTCTTTGTACAGACGACGTGTAAGAGACCCATTCGTTTTTATTCGTTTTTATTCGCGTTGTCCGAGATCATTCATGATTTTCCTCATTGTGTGATGCGACATCAAAAGTGGAGAGTTCAGTCTTCCCAATCGAGTATTATTTGATTCCTTAGACTAGTGTATATATAATATATAGGCTTTATCCATATGAAAAGCTTTAGGGGACCTGTGAGATAGATAGATAGTTACCGCGAACGCTGGGATTGGCCAGCCGCTTTTCTCTTCAACCTATCGATCTAATCGACAAGAGCTGTATATTTAGTTCCCAACTTGCAATGTGCAAGAAATAAAGCTCCCTTCCTCGCGTTTGTTTTAAAATTGGGAAGAAAACAATGAGTATGCAATAAAAATTCTTGAATACATTCTGTGGTAAGGGTCGCGTTATACAATGTGTCAGAAACAGAACGTCTAATAAAAGGAGGAATGTTGTTTCTTTGTTTAAATTTCTCGTAATCTGTGTGTATAGAAACAAGTTTCGCAAACACAACATTGTTATTTTTGTAAATCAACGAGTGGGCGTGTTTATGACGAATGCAGCTTATGCAACTAACATAAACAAGGAAAATGTTATTATCATGCACTGTTAAGTGTACAGCTTTACATTCTCGAAATAGTCATATTAGAAAGACCATGATGACGTAAGCATGAACCATATTCTTTATCTATATTTTTTTGGAAAATCAACCTTTCAAATTTACTATCGTCCCTATTTGCCGATTTGTATTGTTGTCCAATAAATTTTCAAATTGGCGAAAAGATACGGTCCTCATTTTGCGATTATCTTGACTATGTTGGTTCGAGTGGCCGGTATGTGTACCCACCGTCTTAATGTAAAAATGTCTTATTTTTCACATATATTCATTTTTCTATGCACATTTCTCTGAGAGTGTAAAAATAGATTTCTTTTCGGTATTTGTATACATCGCATTGGTTATTTTATAATACTATAGTTATTTAAAAACCACGCAATTTTATTAAATACAGTAAAGAATGCACGATTTAATTTGAATAAACGATCAAGTAAAACTTGTTTTATCAAAGTATCTTTACTATAGCCAATGTCTACTAAAGTACACTCATACGAGTTTGATAAACAAATGCTAACATTTTTAGACGCAATTAAATAGAATCTTTGTAATGTAATTATTCCTGTTTGATATGCGAATCAAAAATGCTCTGACGCGTTATTTCTAAAAATTGAAGTTGCTATAACAATATATCATTAAACTTATCCCGAATTTAATTAGAAGTTTGTTTATTGTCTTGATCACATTTATTTGATATACCGTATTAGTGTTATTTTTTTGTAAATCAGTCATGTGACAGGGTTCTGATCGGCACTCTGCAAATTTATTAATTCACCCCATTGACATTAATAACGACATTCTTAATTAGCTCATATCATTGAGACTCGGAACGGCAGTGCGAAAAATTAAGAAATCAAAAAAGTTTAATTACGCCATGGTACGATCGAACATTTTTCTATTGTTGCTTTGCTTTTATTATCAATTGAATAATTGCACAATCGCAATAACAATATAATTAAATCCAGCCATAATTTTCTGGCAGAGGAACGGATAAATCGAGAATGCCCTCTCTTTTATCCGTTACATGGATTATAAAAGCGAAGAGAAGAATTATTCAGTTTATAATTCACGCGACGCTCGACAGATCTGTTGTTTCCATACCAAATACAGGATCTGTTTATTTAGAGTTTTGCATGTAATAATAGTTCTGTCTTTTTCAGTGACTGTATATATTCTTGACGGGCAAAATAGAACAACCCAACCAAATGTAATGGGTGCTACGTAAAAGCCCAAATTTGTTCTTGCCACACCCCAACTGTAAACACACATCTTCCCGAAACTCCATCCGACGATAACATACAGCTTCAAGAAATAAATCTCGAAAGGTTTCCCCATGCATTTTTATTTCCGATCAAGAGTTCTCTTGTCACTTGAATTTGCGCATACAGCCCTGGCTGTTTGTAGTATACAGACCACAGCCTAAATACCCACATCCACAACGACTGAGGGGCATTTGCCAATAAACCGACTTAAAAGGGCGGTGGTCGAATAAATACTGTTTTAACCCCCAAATTTCCCTTTTAAACCGACTCACAAGATTACTGATCTCGTCCGAGTACATCAAATCTGGGCTAAAGAACCGGCCAAAGGATTACTCAACAGTCTCGGTTGAGCCCATTTGTACTTATAATGCGTGTTCCTGTATTTGACAAACTATAATTCAGTTAGTGCAGTTGATGTTGTGGCAAGCATTCACTTACAGAACACCATTTTAATAGACTTACCATACAATTCATCCCACATCGTAGCCCTTATTCAGAGAGACGCACAAATTCTAGTCATTGAAGCAATCAAGGGTGCACAAATTCTATAATACTCTGTCGGTAATAGTAAAACATTATTGTTAAAGAATGGAGCACGAAATGCGTCTTATATTCGTATATTTTGTTTTTCGATATTGAGCGTGCGCCATCATTATAAACCAGAGTTATGCCGTATCGTTTACCATAGCATTTATCATGTTGTTTATTTTACGGATTTCGTATCCTCATAAAATGAAATATGACTGTATTAGTTACTTTAAGATTTTTGCCAAGATACGCCAAGCGTTTGAATCAAAGTGTGACAGAATAGAACATGGGCTGGATAGACAATAAGTACAAAAAACCATGGGTATATATTGACAAAAATACTCATGAGATTCCGAATACATGAAAAGACTTGGCCAGCTTATTGGTCGTTGGAAAAGATTTCGATGGGAAGGAGAATCACGCGATTTGTAGGCTAATCGAGTGTAACAACCTACTGTTTACACACGTCAATTTATAAGAGTATTTCGATTATAATAATAATTATAACAATAACACCAAAACCACCACAAAAAGATTACATTACAATAAACACACAAACTGATACACTGCTAATGCTACATTACAATAACACCACACTAATACCACATCACAACCCACAATTTATAAAGATGACCCACGAGTTTCAAATGTCGATACGTAATTCGATGAATAAATAAGTTTCCAATACAATTTATATTGTGACAATCGAATAGACCATAAAAAGTAAACCTGCGAGCGAACCTCCCTAATATTTCAATATCACGGAATACTTCCGAAATCGTCAAGTCTCCGTAACACTACGGCTGACGGAAAAAGCTAATTTGTCTTTTCGGAAAAGTCTTATTCCGCATTGTAAGCACCTGCAAGAAGAATGTGGATCATTCGATTTTTTTTTTTGAAGACAAGTTTCGGGTCCTCTTGATGATATTATGCTTAGACGCTGGTTCCCGTTATCTCAATTTATATTATATTTTTCGATTCCATTCCCATGCATCTTATCTTCCCCCCAAATTTCATTACCGGTCATCAATGTGAACCTTTCGGGAAAGGCCCATTTTTCCGACATTGTCAGTATGTATTCGTCCAATAGAAATCTTCATGTCTGATCGACAGGCAAATGAACATCCAGTTTCCGTGTAACTTATTATTGCTCTCATACGTATGTAGTATGGGCCGGCAACATTGAAAATAAATAAACTTTACTTACCCAGCGGATACTTTTTCCTCCCCTGTTTTTGTAAAAAAAAAAACGTATCAGCAAAAGTGAAATAATATATATATTTCCACGACCTAGTCGTATTACTACGTAACATACCCACCATTACAATGCCAGTTTGTACCTCTTGTCATCAGACTAAACAAGACGAAGCATTTTTTCACAAGAATAAAAAATGGAAGACTTGTCAGTCTTGCATCGAACAAAGGGCTGCAAAAAAGGCACGAACAAAGAGGAAGAGAGAAGAAGAAGCCGTCGCCATAGCGAATAGTGGTTCCAACGAGGAGGAGCCTCTCAGAGTCTCTTTGAAGAGTGTGACATTAATGGAGCTTGCTGAATTTGTGGCCAACGAAGTGCGAACGGTGGCAGCTAACCCACAACCAACAAATCCAGACGGTATCAATCAGGGACTGAACTTGAGAGTCGCCCTTAATTTGACTGGTTCTATTACCGGTAATGAAAATCCAAAAGAAGTCGCGCGATGGATCGTTGAAGAAATTGAGAGAGCTGATGAATATAATTGGACGTGAGTATTTACAACATCAATCATTTATACCGACCACCCCTCGCTAATTCTAAGCCCGGAATCTGTGTTCAACTCTATCGATGGTTATTTGTCTGAATCTTATATAGGTATAACTGTATGAATACATCGATGCGTCATAAAGACGTGGCAAAGTTCTACTACGTATGTAGTCAATCTATGGTTGCCATGAAGGAATACAAACAGGGCTCAAACAGAAAGCGCATGGAACGCTTTCCCTGCCAAGGAAAAATGCAAATGAAGATAGATTTACCCGCGGCCGAAGCAATGCTTGAAATTCATCATGGAATTTTGCACTCTAGACCCGTGATCGCATCCGATATCAGTGAAGAGTGTAAGAAAGAGATCGAACAGAATCTCGGTCTCAATCCTATATCACTACGAGCTCATCTCAGGGCAAAAGGCGTCATGAAGAACTACACTCCGAAACAAATCCATTTGTATTGGGAGAAGGTGGCAAGCACAAAGAATCCAGCCTCGTTGGCTCGCATCAACACCAGCCTACTTGCCGCAGCATCAAACAATGACTATGCAATGATACCACCGCAGCCAGTCATGCCGTACATAGGTCCCGTACCCATGGCGACTGTACCCCATATGGTACCCACCCCGATAAGCGAAGAAGAAAGAGTTGTAAAATATAATCGCGACGATTTTGTCGAATACGTAAATAAGATTGAACAATTTACGAAAAGAGTTAGAACTCAGTTGGAATATGGAAATTATTTGTGGTTGGAGGCAGTGAAGGGAGTTACAAACCGCGTCATTGAAATGGAGAATGATATCGAAGAATTAGAAAGACAGCGGGCTAACGAACAAGCTTCGAAACCATGGGTTGTGCATTATAAGTAGGTTTAATGGACTGTTGTTTATATCTTTTTTCTTGACGCAAGTCAGCAAGGACTTTCTTATATACATATAAGTGTATATACATAATATACACACAAAAATATACATATGTACCGTCTGTGTTAGATAGAATAGTTTTGCTGCAATATTCAATTAGTCATTAACCCTCCCTTCTCATCAGTCTAAAAACAAAAATCTTATTTATCGAAATAATTATCTTTTTTTCTTTCTTTCTAAAAGCTTATTGCAGCCATTATAAGGTATCCTTCTTTACAAAAATTAAGATGAATAGGAATCTTTCAAAAAATTCTCGCCAATACTTAATATCACTCTCGTATCGATGTCATCATCTTTATATTGAAAGCATAGCATCAATCATGAGAGCGTGAGTATCTTGCTTCATTACCAATGACACGAGCTGATTTTATTTTGTTAGGCAATATTTATCACGGGTATTTTTTATCTTGTCGTTTTTTTTAACGGGTTTATGTGTACAAGTTGCCATGACTGCTCAACCATTGCAGCGATCCCTGCAAGATTATAATAGCTCACCGGACGATAGTCTTTGGGGTTTGTCGACCACCTACCGAAATTTTGAACCATTCAGAGTTGTGTAGTGTGGGATCGCGGTTCAGATCCGCATTTGTCGTCGCATTGAGGGAGCGTGGTTTGTTATGCCAAGTGCCTTTTTCTTTCTTTTTGGTGTCTGGAAATCTTTTGACACGTTCGACTATTGTGTAATTAAATGTCCAGCGACGTATTACGTAAATTGGTGAAAATGAATGAAGATACATTTTTTTGGTGGAGAATATCTAATGCTATTACCTTACCCAACAATATATTATGTCACGTGTAATTATGTACCATTAATTCAGACTAATTAATAACGACTAATAATAATAATACCAATAATAAATAATAATAAATAATGATAATGAACATGTGACATTCAATGGATCTTGGTAACAGTCAGGCGCGTTGTTCTTTGGTGAGGAAGAAACACAGTTCTTGTCATTTTGATGACAAGAAGATAACAGCAATCTTATCCTATTACTATCTCTGTTTTCGAAACGGACGATGGAAAAGTATACCACCTTTGAGAGTTAATTTGAACCTTGTATGCTATAACCTAATCTAACTAACGCCCTAAAATAATTAGCAAACTCTCCGCGAGTGTTGATATTAAACCTCTCCGGACCCATATCCTAATAATATCATCCAACATATTGCCGGTCGCTTCAGCCATGCCAATAACCAGTTATGTGAATATGCGTTAGGCGAACATAAACGCGCAACGTAATCGGCTCCTGATGAGCTTATTATAGAAATAACACGACCCTAAAAGGCTCTCTAACATCGATATTAAAACAATTTGTCCTATAAAAAAAAAGCAAACGACATAGCCATTGAACTTTTATTTCTCACTACCATTACTGGTACTTTGTACTAGGACCATACATACTTAATTAATAAAATTTTATAAAAATTATATGTAATCGATTTGTAGTGAACGAAAGAGTATAAAATGGATACAGAAAGCTCTTTATTTTTTCAAAAAAATTTTGTTGACTTGTGAAAAGCGAGACTAGACAACAGTATAAAACCCCTACTTTTTAATAGTCGGAGCAATATGCCGTATCAGTTATTAGTAAAATTATAATAAATGAATGCTGGAAAGTTAATCCGGATAAATTATTTCCGAGGAAATTTATTGGAACCGACTCATTTGAGATCCACCTGTACTCTGTAGAACCATTTGAAAAGTAATTATGCCATAAACTTACGTATTTGATATTTACATGTTTTTTATTTTATTAGTAAGAAATATGTACTTTGTTCAGTAGTAAAAGCACAGTAAATCAGGGGGTCACCCATGTGTGCTGAATAAAGACCTCAAAACTCCATTTGAAAAGTAATTGCTGATTTACCATAAGTTGTAGCGCCGAAACAAAAAAAGACTCGCCCAATCACCGATTAAAAGTTGGGTAACTGAAAATATCAAACCCAACACGCGTTCATGATTCACCACTTTGTCAATACGTGACGAGGTGTATCGAATAAGTGCCCCCCATGTAATACTCTCTGTGGTTCACTCATCGAGAATTTATCCAAGGTCAACGTGAAGAGTAAAAAGAAAAAGTTACATTCATATCATACCCACCATGCTGTGATACGACAAACCCCTTCTATTCCTAACCTTGACCCGACTGTTGCTTGCGTGAACACAATGTGATTGCTAAACGGTAATAACGTTTAACATATGCTGACGTATGACATATATGTATGACATATAACATATGACGTATGACGTATGACAAACAAAATTTCGGTCATTACAACCATACTTTGTGTTATAAATATGACGCTGTCAATTTCGGTAGTCACTCATGCATATTAATATGAGTTACGGGTGTGTGTAACTTGTAGCTACCACTTGGCCGAAACCCAGCATTAAGCTATGCTTCAAAACCTAATTAATTAATTAGAATCAACATGACAAAAACCTTGCTCGGTGACAGTCGCTGAATTATTCACGTAGTAGAAAAGAAATATGGCCCTATAAAATGTAAAATGGAGACATCCAAAACCTCCCGTTTGATGTTTTGAGTAAAAGATGACCAAATTACTGAAAGTGTTCAACAATTACGTTTTATCCAAGTACACGCCCACTTGAAAACCATTTCCAACAACGCGTACATAGTAAGAGATCGAAGGAAGAAGAAAAAAAAAAGAGAGAGACGATGAAGAGAAGAAAATGTTATTAGCAATAACAATCCCGGGTCTGCACGGAATCCGAATGCATTTCGATCACGGGACACAGCCCAGTATTTGATGCTGGAATACAAAAAAGCCTCCGGTCGGGTTTTATACTGCATGTGCGGCCGTAATAACTTACAAGTTTACATTAAAAGCTTTAGAACGCGATAGAACTTGCAACAACTCACTCGAAATTAACTCATTCAACGACAGCATGGGTAAGTATTATCGTTTCGTCAGATGCCTACACGAACGATCTGCGTGGTTCCAGAACAGCATATCTTCTAAGCTAACTTTAGCTTCCCGTTCGTAGGAGGCATGTTCAGCAGAGTCTTGGGAAAGTTGTGGGGTGAGAGGGAAGTTCGAATACTAATCTTGGGTTTAGATGGTGCCGGTAAGACGACAATACTATACAGACTACAGGTGTGTCTTGGTTTTTACCTTTTCACGACAGCTGATCAGTGTGTTTTATTGGACGAGAGGAAATAAGCTATTTTATGTTCTTGTACTTGTAACAGATCGGTGAAGTTGTGACGACAATTCCGAGTGAGTAAAACTCGACTATTGAGTGGAATCGTTTGATATTTTACGTTTGAATTTTTGTTGACTCTATACGATTTCCCCCATCTTCTAGCCATCGGATTTAATGTCGAAACAGTCACATACAAGAATGTCAAATTTCAAGGTAGGCTGGTGAATACTGAATATCGAAAGAGTGAATGCGAATCGTTTATTTGTTTCCGTCTGTGCATATCCATTGAATCATTATGTTTTTTATATCAATATATAGTTTGGGATCTTGGAGGTGAGGCTGGAAGCAAGTGTGTTTTTTTAATTGTGGCATGTTAAATGCACGTCAAAGCATACTGAATACAAAAGGTCGATTGTTACTTTTCTGTATGGATTTTAGGACAAACAAGTATAAGGTATGCAAGTGGAGTTGATCTTTGTTCTATTAGCGGGTGTGATGTGGTATCTTTGACTAAAATTTCCTTTGTTCCGAAAAAGGCCCTATTGGCGATGTTACTACGCAAATACTGATGCAGTTATATACGTAGTAGATTCAGTGGATCGTGATCGTATTGCTACATCACGGGAGGAGTTACATGCAATGCTTGAAGAGGAAGAATTAAGAGAGGCTGCACTATTAGTGTTTGCAAACAAACAAGATATGACCGGAGCTATGAGTGCGGCTGAAGTGTCCGACTCGCTCGGATTGGGCACTCTAAAAAGTCGGCAGTGGTCCATATATAAAACGAGCGCTGTAAGAGGGGATGGTTTAAAAGAAGGACTCGATTGGTAAGAGATGAGATAATATTTTATGTTTTTATTATTTTTTTCTGCTTCATTGTAATTAATATGTACAACACTTTTGCGTTTTTTGTACAATGAAGGTTGGTGAATATCATCCAGGGTTCTAGCAATAGTTGATAATATCATAATAGGCTTTCTTTTTTTTTACAATCAATAATATTAATATACGCTGCACAAAGTAACTAGAGAACAATAAAGACATCGGCAGATGTCATGAATCATATAGAATTGATAGTTTATCATAACGAGAGAGAGAGTCCAATGTCGGGTGCCAATACATTACGTCAGAAGCCAAAATCGGTTTCGAACTTTTTATGTGGGGAAAGCCTATAGTAATAGTAACAGAGCTGATGTAAAGCTGCTGCGTAAGCTTCCGGTCTGTTGTTTCACCGAACGATGCTCCGTTTTGAGTCATGAGATTGTTTAAGAAAATCCTCTCATTATACAGAGATCAATCCCGGGAGAAGTGAATATTTGTTAAATAATTCATCTGTTTACGTGTCTAAGTAATCACGTGACCTAAGAGCTATTTCAATAAGAATGTTGTAGTAGAAAACTTGCAGTAACTTCTTTGAAGAATTAAATTCAATTGAAATTTCTTCAGGAAATTTGGTACATCAACGTTTTGGCATGTTTAAAACGAAAAGGGCCAATTTACCTCGGTGCTTATTGAAAGGAGTGCGCGTCGATTACATTAAAATTTACCATCTTACAAACTATGCTCTGATCTTTAACTTATCGCTGACCATGACAAACCCAGGAACCAGCGGTTTGCTGAAGCAAAATAGATCAGACTGATGGTAAGGTTTTATGCAGTACTCACAGGTGCAGAAATGTTGTTGCAGGTTGCCAATTACAATAGATTGCTTTTTATGGTGAGCGATATAATTCCCCGTTCTCGGCATCAGGACGAAATGTCAGGTACTATGTTTCTCTACATATAATTGCTATGTAAGGTCGCATATAATTGAGTACGACTCTATTGTCAGGCTATACAAATCATGTGCTGAAGCTAGTTTCATCATGTAAATAGTAAGAATAGAGACGCGAATGCTACAAAAGAAGGGAGGCTGTACATTTATATGGCTAGCTATGCTTATTTACTACGGCAGAAATGTAAAGTACGAGCGTAGCTTTCGTTTCGGAACCATCTTATTTTGATATCGTAATCCTTGAACAAAAGACTTAAATCCAAAATTTCGTCGATTTTCTCGTTTACGGTAATTTAAGCTGATATCAACGTATGCTATGACTTTTCGGTCTTATACGGCATTTAAATAACACACCTTTCTATGTTGGCACTAGTAATAATTAACACGACGACGACGACGACTCTTTTTACCTACGTATTGATTTGCAATACAATTAATATGGCATCGATTGTACTCATCGTAGCAATAACATTAAACAAACACAACAAACTTAAATCTTTAGTCAGTGAATGCATTGATATTTTTACATACAAGTTTTGCGCGCTTTCCATTTGACATTGTGTTTGGGTTATAAGGAACACTATTATAAGAAATAAAGTATCGCAAGATAGACGACTGGCCCCAGGTATAACCGTGCTAATTTAATTAACCAGGTCTGGCACGGCAGATTGCCAACTTTTCGCTCGCTCTTTGATAATCAGTTCTGACATGATCTCATTTATCGCCAACCCAAACGTGTATAGTAGTAGCGCATACATACATCTCAACCTTGATGCTCATAATTGCAGCTCTTGGACTTTCATTTTATAAGACCATCGCACACGCATACACGATCTTTCGGTTGACGGCGACAAGTCTTCCAATCTTTGCGTCAGGCTTTTTTATCGTTGTTTATTCAACGGGGTTGTGCCAAATAATTATGGGATAGTATTTACAACCAGTTAGCGAAAAAAAAATCATACTGCAATGATAAGATTTGCGAGAAAAGTGCGAGTATAACTTATGAGCACCCTGTTAAAGAGATTTGTCGTAAACGCTTTTAGACGTCTCGCGTAAAACGAGGTTATCGACAATAGACTTGGATAAAATAAATACTAGTAGTTTAAAGCATACTCTATTTTCGGGATTAACCAATGAATCAAATCCGGAAATATGACAAAGAGCACACTTTTCCTTCTTTCTTCAAACAATGTACTCTGTAAAACATGCGCTGTTAGTTGACTAATCGATCGGGGAGACTCTGCGCAGCTCTTTGCTTGTAGACTAGACAACAGCCAAAAAGACAACGTTGTCATTGTATGGCAACGCGCCCCATATTTCACAGACTCGGAATGTCATTTTGTTCCATATCACATGCCCTCTCTTTGTTGAACAATCAAAATTCTTTTCTTCTTTGTCAAAGGATAAGTAATTAATTACATGTAATATTAAATTTTTATTATCAACACATTTTTGTGCAAGTGCAAAGTGGCCTTGCGTTTGACGCTTGGCTATTACTAGAATTAAGATGGATTCATGTGACCACCACTATATACTCTTTATTCCTTTAAACGGTTGGTTTTCTTGCGGGTTGGAATATTCTATCTATCCAATATGAATGCTTGACATCTTTTTTAACTATTTGTCATAGCATACGCTGACGCCCAGTCTCCATTCTTGGCGTCTTTTGGCTCTAAAGTCAAGGATTGGTTGCTTGCTTAACGTTTCACATAAATATCTCATTAATTAGTATCACGTTACTCAGTGTGAAGAATTTTCTAAATATAACTGTTTCGTTTTTGTAGCAAGTCTGGATCACATTAAGTAGCGATTAGCATTGTGCAGATTTTTAGTTTTCTCTTTGCAGAACTTGTGCATGACTCTATTGCCGAGGGAATACAGTAACTAGGCAATTATATTCTTGTGTTATGTGTTGTAAGCTCGTCTGTATAATGAATTAATTGAACTGTCACACTCGATGCTTTTATTATAATTAGACTTTTTATAGTATGAAGAACCATTAGCTCTGATATCCATTTGTATTACTATTTTAACCATGTCCGAATGTCTTGACGATTACGAAACATTTGTACGATAACGCACATCCCATATAGAAAGTTGAATCTTACCGCATTAGACACAATTGACAATGAGTTTTCTGATTAGTAACAAAATTAGAACTTGTCAGACGTCCTTGGTGCTTGTAATTACGTCAAATCTGACATTCTGTCTTTGGAACAAGTTACTTGTGTTGAGCTGGTACTTTGCGAGCAACGAAAGATCTAATAATTCAAAAATTCAAGTTAAAGCAGCCAAAAACCGGTTTCGATGAGATAGAGATTGCAAAACGAATAAAAAGCACAATGTTTCAAAACAACCAATCGATACAATTACGCATAGTGTTAGTCACGCCTCGTTGAAACAGGTCGAATGGCACGTATACAAATTGGTTTTCATTAAGAATCTTGCACAGCGACATAGCAAAATCCTCATTTGATTCCCTATATGATCTATTAATTAGAAAATTGTGTGTATCATCGTTCTGTACTTATATATTTAGAGCCTGCTTATATAAGATCCCTATAGTTAACCATATATATGCGTTTTTATAATCAATTTTCGATAGACGCGTCTCGACACGATACTCACTTCCATGATACGAGACTCACTTGATTGGACACGATTAGTCAGTCATCAACCACTTTTTACTCGTTCTTCATACCACTAATTAAACGATCATACAACTAAAACTGCGTATAGTTGATGCGATCTCTTCATGATTAGTTTGGCCTTCTCGCTAGCTTTCCAAAAATTAGAAAAAGAAAAGGCATTAATAGATCTAATAATGTTCAGTTCGAACAATGATATCAACCGGGGTTATAGTTTTCTGTATTTATTAATATTGTGTTATACCACGTACAACACATAAAAAAACATAATCCATAAGACGTTTTATACAGTGAAAACGGTGTATTGTTAAACTCTCTGTAAAAATCCAACCGTTTACGTTTATGAAAATCCTTACTTCTTTCATACCCAATGCTGATGGTATACCATATAGAACAAACAAGGTCAATCGAATAAGCTAGAGCAAAAATATGTATTATTCTAAACAGAACGCCCGCAGGAGCTATCCTGCAATAAAAAATGTCCGCATACCTAATTAGAATAAGACATAATTGTGGAGACTTTTCGCAGACTCGATTGGCGGTGCTTGTACGTAATTTGTTACAAGTATGCTTAAATGACCATTGTTCGAAGGGTGTCACGAAATAACTCGACACTTTGTTGATTCTCCTTTAGCCTAAAAGCATTAGCATTATCCATATCCGAACCAGAAATGGCCTGTATATGCGTGAGAAGTAGACTACTCCATCGTTTAAATACGTCTTCAGCAATAAAAAGCTTATAATCAATTAACCTCAAGAAAATGACCTCGTTTTCATTAATCTCTGCCAATGGTAATCCAGAGATTTTAGACCAGGCTTTGTTTGAATAGTTCGAATCCTGTAAATACTTGGACGCTATGATCAATGCGGCCAGAAACATTCGGCGACCACACGTAGCTGGATCCGTATTGTGACTACTATCCTCAGAACCTTTGTCACCAGGTGTCGGAGGTCCACGAGGTTTAAGCGCACGTTGCTCAATCTGCTGCTTAATCCTGAATAGATAGAACAATGCGGTCTGTAAAGTGGAATATGAAGTACGCGATCGGCGAAGTGTTTGTTGCAAAAATACCCGCATGGGAATTAGCCTCGCTCGTGGATTCACCGTAAATTTACTCCAAACCACATCAATGATCAAAGCTGCTGTATCTATAAAAAATCGATCCATTAGCCTGCGTTCTCTTTCTCTCTTTTAACGCGTGAATTATAATCGAATCCGGCCAATAGCTTTCCCAAAGGCTGATTATGATGAGCTGAAATAACTTACCGACGAGGTTCTCGACAAAGGCAGCCTTTCGATTCTTTTCACTGATTAAAGACGGTATCATACGAAGGATGGGGTACTCTGTATTTTCATTGTTTTTCACTGTATTCGCAGCAGTTTCGTTGGCGATGGGCAACGAGCTTGATCTTGGAATAGCCATGGGTCTGAAAGGACCATTCTTATGAATTGAGTCTTTGGACGACGTTCTTGAACAATCACTGATATATCCTTGCTCATTCTCGAGTAACAGTGGCTCAACATATCCCAACCCACTGTCATGACGGGGCCGTTTGCGACGCAATATATAAACCGGTTCATGCTTCGCGGAAACAACCTGCGTTCCCTCACTCCCGATCCCCTCGTTGACGGATGGACAGGGCAATGACAACGAAGAGCTAAATGCATCAAACTCTCTGCTGGAGGTGTTCTGTCTGGAAATGGGTGATGGCGGCTGATATCCAGTCTGTTCTATTTGTAATGAGGAATACTGGACTGGCGACTGAACGAAAGGTTGCGAAGTAACGGAATACGAGGGGATGGTGAGTGGGGGTGGTATTATTCGTTGGTTTGACATTGACGACCTCGTGCTTTCTTCCGATGTATACATTAGGAGATCTGTCAAAAAAGATAGAGTGACTCTAGTAAATGTGGTTCTTGAGTCATTTACTACTTTGGTGTTTCCATTGTGATTTGTTTTTGTATCTTTGTTTGTTTGTATATACTTTTTTTTTAAAACCGCGTTATATCACGTACCCGTTTTCTTATAACATGGTCCAGTCATCTGTCTTAAACATCTGCGCTTCGATGGACTATCAACGATACTAAATGCACAATCTACCACAGATTTAAAAGGAGCATTGGTATAGTTCGTACACGCACTGTCGCTTTCCATATTGGTAACAGTTTCGGATACAAAGCTGCTATTGTTATTATTAATATAGTCGCTATCAAGATTAGGTGAATACCCTCTATTACTATCAACTGGTGAGGGCTGGCCGAAAGTGGAATTTGGTTTAGTCAATAAGGACCTTCGCCACGGGCTGTTTCCAGCCACGTGTGCTGGAACGTGCTGTGATGATTCATTTTGATAATGTGCTGATTCTACTTCTATCATTGTAATAGCCCTCGACAGAGAAGGTCAAAAACTCTCCAGGTTGAGTGAGTTGATGGTAACGAGAAGAATCGAGTTAAAGTGGGGTTGCAGTGTCTATCGGTTTATTTTCACGTGTGGAAATTTTGAACACAGTACTAGATTATTTTTGCTCCGCTAACCGAGTTCAACAGGACGGTATAATAGATAACATTTTTCCAAAGTTAAGTCTTGGGGGGTTGAACGAAAGGCTCCATCGTATATATTTGTTGTATGCTGCGGACTGCGCCAATGTTGTGCGATTTCCCGTGCAAGTGTTACACGTTCTCTAAGTTTGTCTAGGAGATGCAATTGTTATCGTGTCAGCAGACATGCGCAGTTATCTGTGCAACACAAACCTATTGATTATTTAACTGTTCCCTACAAATTAGAAATTATCTGTTCGCCGTTTTGGAAGGATCTGCAGGCAGAAAATGGCATGCTTTTTACTCTATATTTTTGGTATTTCAAACGAGTGGGGTGACATTTTGGCGGTGGCGAGACTTCTACCTAGCCAACATCGATGAAAATTGGCAGACGGGTTTGGGGGTATACATTTGGCATAGCCTCCTTTACTGGGCACAGTTTCGGCCGCCGCAGATGGAGTGTGTGGTGATGTTCGATTATGTGTCACATTACACAAATGCTGCGGGATAATTTGAGTCGTTGTCCGACATACAATAGTCGATACATAATTACTCCGTACTCCGAAATATATTGGATACTACCCAGCCAAGACAATCATTTCAACGTATTCGGCTATTTTTTTTTGAGGCTGAGTTTCAAGACAAAGTAAAAAAAAAACTCACTGTCGCCCATTTTATTTTGTTGTCTACAATTTGAACATTGTTCCTCGCCTATTCTGCCCATGTTAAATGGTTATTCACATAATGTGTCGACATAATGCCATACATCATACGCCAAAGCGAACACAAGGGAGTGAGCTTTTTTTTTCGGAAGGTACCGTCACTCAACAAAGATATTATACTTCCCGTGCTGCCGTTTCAGAATAAACGCCATGATGAAAATTTAAGGAAAATGGAATATGTTGGTTTTTAATAGACAGTTTGTCCTACGGAAACTTCCGCAGCGCTGCGTCTGAAGCCAGTTATTTAACGTGATCTTTCCTAATTCGGAACTTATCGTAATATCATGCATACGTTGCATGAAAACATTGAAATTAGGAAAGAGAAAAAAAAATGGTAAAAGAGATTTCTCATCGAGTGAAGGACAATAGTGACACACTCCTAATAAATTGAAAAGGAAATAAAGCTACTAAAAGGATTGTATTGGAAAAGTATTGTACATTGGATACTCGTTTTCAATAAACCCATTGTATGTATGTATGTATGTATGAATGTATGTATATTTAAGTATTTCTGTATTTCTGTATGTATGTATATGTGTACGTATTGCTATATGTATTTCTATATGTATTTCTATATGTATGTCTGTATTTCTGTCTGTATGTATGTACTAATATAATACTCTATTGACCGTTTTGATTATTGTTGATATCATTTACCATTTGCATATGCATAATAGTGATAGTTCTTTCCGGTTTTGCTGAATGCAATGAGAATCCTTCAAACCCTGAACTTTCATTACCATTGCCTATTTCTTCCATCTGTCTTGTAATCTTATTCTTTTATGTTATTTGAACTTGTGCTTCTGTCGCTCATTAGTACAAGTCCCGCAAATCGACTGAAAGATTGTATTTAGAATACCGAACTTACTGCATTAGGTCAAAGTCGACTGGGCCGAAGCACTAGCGGAAGAAAAAAGCCGACATTTGTGATAGGAAGCAACAATACCATAGATGACATTGTTACCACAAAGTCGTTGAATAAAATGCAGGAGGGCGTTGAGGGGAGGAGGGGGGGAGGTCGAACCATGTCTAAATCTAACAACAATGGGTCTATATACATACATCTTTGATCTTTTGATGTCCAAAGGTGATGGCCGACATCATATGAATGGCTAGTACTAAAATTTGCCCAGTAAATAAAGATTTAAAATCACGGATTCTATTTCAGATTATCAAACGCAACAGCATTCAATACGTTTTAAGCGGACCTAATCAAGGATAAGAAGATCTCATCCATTGTCGCCGAATTTATATAGATCCGTATTTTGAGAACGTTGTTGATGAAACGAGAGTTCTTTGTGAGTGAATGGACATAATCCGTTAGTGAACACAATGTATCATTGACATTATTATACAGAACAGTCTGTCGTCAATTTGCTGAATCGGGGTAATTATTGGACTTGTTGCAGCCCCCGTCATTGATAATTGTCACCGTATCGCGTTGCTCTTCCCGATTAGGGTCTCCCACCAAAAAGAAAGACTCCAAAATTTGTCATTCCTTGAAACAGAGAATTGTTGTAGCACATGCGGTCTTTCTTTAAACGTATCGTGAATGAAAAGTCATCCACAAAGGACATTTGACATTCAAGTCACTTAAGTATAATCGTCCTCACCGAAAAATGACATTTGGGTGGCAATGAATGATTCTTCTTGGTATTGTCGAAAAGAAACATGTATATACAAAAGCGTTTGTGGTCCAGTGACTTTAACCCATTCAGTACTTATGCCTGCTGCAGAACCGGTTTGATTCCCTTCTGCGATACTATTCATCGCCATCATGATCGTAAGCTGACATTGAAACCCATGGTTATTGTCGCTGAACATCACAAAACCATCAGAACGTTTCATATTCTGTACCACTGCACTGTTATCATCTTTGGGTAACAGTGAATGAACGTCCTGACTACCATGCTACCCAAATAAATATGCTGATACTCGAAATAACTGTCTTTTACTGTTTCAATGCTAACACATGCTGTAGACACTATCGCCTATCAAGTAATCAACAAAGTCGACGATTGCGCGTAAAGTGGAGGTCAAAATTGAAGCGCGTCTTTAAAGGTACGTTCAAGAATTTGTCCAATTCGGGAATCGTTCGCAACCCGTTCAATGATTGCTTTCTTTCGTTAATAAGACTTTCAAAGATCGAACGATCATTCACGTATTGCGTGATGGACTGAGAAGAGAACACGAACCTTTTAACACAGAATTCTACAAGTATGCGAAATGCGAATCAATTAGACTATACATGTTAAAACTGACTATCATGCCGCTGAAATCTACAGGCTGTATACAAATCTTCCGAAAATACCGGCGATTGAACAAGTCCTTGTATGGCCCTGCCCTGTCTGCCTTAATCGATTATGTATGCGTGGCATCATTATTATAGTAACGACGAATGGTATACATCCTTTCAAATCATGGGACAACCAACCCTTAACATGATGTGGATGGAACAGGTAACATCCTTTATTGTGATCGGGTATTGATTTACGCATTACCAAATATTTATTAAGACTCGCCGGTCGATATAACGCCCCCTGTGATCTAGTCGGGAATTAAACCTGTTAGAGTGGGAATTTAATTTAGGCGCCCTGTCTTAAATGCACCAATCGGGATCAGCGATTGAAGATCTTGGAGAATATCGTTCGAACTCTTTAATATTATTAAAATCTCTCATAAGCGTAATTCTTTTGGCGAAAAAACTAAAACTTGTGTTCATTACCGTCGTCATACTTGCACATACATCGGTTACCGAATTATCTCTCATTTAAACGTTGACGTAGTAGTTAGTATTAACTACTTTTTAACCATCGGCATTGGGAAAAAAAAATAATAAGTGGTTCACATGACAACCTTGTACTGCTTGCTGTTACCAAATTTAGGTGGCATCTCTCATTTAGTGCCGGCGTTTTTCTTATTGGATTTTCACCCGCTCGGCTGGAAATTAGACACCGTATATGGAAATCAACGCTGCTATTTGTCACTGCAAGCATTTGATATCATATGTAAGTTATATTGGGGGTTTCCTTAATTACAGTGTTTTTTGCCAATGAAACATTGTTCGCAGGCTGAAAAACTACCATTCACAAGAACACCTTTTACGGCCTGTTTACCAATACAGTTATACTGTATATCTTTCGTTGGTAACGTAAATTTAATTTCCTTGGTTTGCTTTTATTTCTCAAAAAGTGCAACTCTAGCATTGAAGAATTGATGTGAATCACGTTCAAGCAGATAACTCTCTATCCAGCAATTAGTAAATAATGTCGAAGCTATTTATATTTACAATTTATGGGTAAGAATTGTTGGAGAATTAGATATTCAAACCTTTTATTTAATAAAGCAAACTTTTAAAATTAACATCGCCTGCAAAACTTGCACAAAGTAATGGTCATTACAATAACAATGTTTTGTAATTACACGACCTTAATTTCATTGAATAAAAAATAAAACATTATTTTGTTATTTCCACTTAGCTTAGGTTATGTATGACGATGAGATTGTTGTATGTCAGATCGGAATTTATGTCAGATCAGAATTTTATGTCGCTTCCAAACTGACATACGAACAATATATTATTCACTCGATAAAATAAGTCACTTTAAGATAAAATCACTCTAAGATAAAGAATTTTCCCGCTCAAATTTAAGCGATATAAAATTCTGATCTGACATACTGTATATCACTTCGGAATTGACATAAATTCCGATCAGACATACAACAAGATATTATATGCGTCGTCGGCTCAAATGATTATCTTAGCTGTAATAATAGATTCACATTCGTGTCGTTTATCCCAAAAAGTTATCTAAGGATGTGTTATGCGATTTATCTTCACGTGTCACGTTGGCATGCGGTCTAGATGACTGCAATTGGCCAACCTGGAACACACGTGTGCGCCTCCATCTCTTAATAGAACTTAATAACTTCTTGAACAAGGAAGAGAATGACAAGTAGGTATGGACTCAGAATGCATGCTCATTGGAAAGACTGCTATTCCGATTTCCACAATGTGCATTATAAATACGACGTCTTTCAAGTACGTGGTCACCAAACGTAACTGCACGCTCTACAATGAAGCATCCTACGATCGCTCGCAGTCTTTTTATTCTTG